ACCCCCGCGCAGCCCCGACACACAGCCGCCTCCCAGCGACCCCTCTGCGCGACCTCAGGCCAGAGCAACCGCTCGCAGGCGTTCGTTAGCGAAACGCCTCAGCAGGCGTTGACCGATGCGGGATCCTCAACGCTGTTCGCCCGCCTGAAAAACCCGGCGCAATTACGCGCTGCCTCCTCCCGTGCCTGCTCCCTGCTTCCCTCCGGTCTCCACGCGGGATGGGACATTTCTGGCTCAGAAACGCGGCCCCAGAAGGACCCGAGCGCAGGGCCTACTTTTTGCAGATGTGCTGCGAGCCGCTGCGGTACTCGTGGTCGAAGGCCGGCAGGATCAGCTGGTGCCGCTTGAACTTGCTCTGCTCCATGCGCGTCAGGGCTGGCGTGGGAGGGTCCCGCCACTCGGGGATGAAGACGATGAAGGACAGCGGCTCACTGGAGGTCTCCAGCAGTTTCTAATCAACAAGAAAATTAATGATCTGGGTGAGCAATGACACGAGTCCCACGGGAAGGGGACACTTCTAAGCAGTTACAGCCCTGCTGCAGGGGTGTGGGAGCAACAGGGGAAGAGGAGCGACTGCACAGCTCCATCCAGAACAGCTCCAGGGGCGAGGGAACCCACCTCAAAGTGAGAGACCATGGGGCAAGAGAACCCACCTCAAAGTGAGAGACCACGGGGCAAGGGAACGCACCTCAAAGTGAGAGACCATGGGGCAAGGGAACCCACCTCAAAGTGAGAGACCATGGCATCCATCAGCTCCTCACAGAACGGAGGATTTGCCTCAAAAGAGCCACTTATAGGGAAGAAATCCAGGCACGGGCTGCAGGGAGAAGGCAAAGATCCCTGTCAGAGAGGCTACAATTCCGATTTTCACACCTTAATAATCATCTGTTTCTCCAGAAAAGGCAGTCACGCTCTCTGACAGCCCAAAGCCCCTTACAACAGCAGGGCCGGTCGCTGGGCACCGCACCTCCTGTGGTCACTGGGCCCCGCTCCACCAGATCCCTGTGCTGGCAGACCCAGGCTGCATCGCCGCAGGGACCAGAGCCCTCCAACCAGACCAAGGGCAACCCCTGGTGGTCTCGCAGCCCCTCGGGCAGCCCTGGAGCACACGTCCCCCTGCGCAGACACCACACGCCCCAACACACGGCCACCTCAGCCCCTCCCGAGTCACCCACAGGGACACAACGCAGGACTCACCCCCTGGATCCAAAATACCCGTCTGTGTCCAAGAAGGCCGAGCAGTACTGTTTGAAGTAGCAGTTCAGGGGCGAGGCAAAGCACTCGAAACTCACTCCAAAGAGCTTGTGGAGGGCTTCGAAGACGTGCACGGGAAGGGCCCCCTGCAGACCGGTGCCTTCGTACAGACCCACGCCGAACATCATCTGAGGAGAGCAAACCCCGGTGAGCCCTGCCTGCTCCTGCTGCTCCCTTCACCAGCCACCGACCCAGGGGACATGTCCATGCACCCAGTCTACGTGTGCAGGGCCCCCTCATCCTCTCTCAAATTCGTGGAGGTCCCCTGCATGTCCCCAAGGATGCTCTCTAGAGACTAACCCAGACCCCAAGGACCAGCTGCCAATTCTCACGTACATCCCCCATGAACCTTGAGCTGACCGCGAGTCAAGAACTACTGAAGGTTTCCTTCATACAAACGTGCATTTATGGCACCTGTCAGTGTCGCAGTTGCTCCCCAGGCCTCAGCCCCATCTCAAAACACGGAGCAGCCAACAGACACAGTTTGAGCCCTATTTTGCATCCCAGAGCTGTGGACCTCCCCCAGAGCGAAGACAAGTTCAGCTCCCCGCTACAGCAGAGGCTTTCTGATGCACAGCCCTACAGACAGTACCTGGTATCGACGGAGAAGGCACCAAACCCTGGGCAGGAACTTTTCAAAGCCAGAGTCGTCAATGCAACTGTACCGATAGAGAAGCCACTGGAAGGGAGAGCCCAGCCATTAAACACAAAAGAGCGATAAGGCAGCACACAAACAACACCACGACACGGAGAGGGGCCCTGACGAACAGGAGAGGTGTGGATCTGTGTGGAGCCCGGCCAGCACGGCTGCTTCTTGGGTGAGAGAAGCACAGGCTCTTCCCTAGCACATCAGCCAGGGCTGCCCTGCTGCGAGCGCGGCCGTTCCCGCACACAGCGCGTACCCCGAGCTCACCAACACCTTGTGGGAGCTCCCAGCAGGAGCCTGGCCCTCACTACGGCAGAAGGAGCTGCCCTGGTTACTGCTCCCACTCGGGCAGTCCCTGCCAGCCCCTGCAGCTCAGCACCGCATCCCCAGCACAGCCCCTCTCCAAGACATGGAGGAACGCGACCTCCCGTGACACGGCACGCAGAGCCCGCAGCCTGCCCTCACCAGCTTGCTGAAGTAGTTGCGGCTCACTTTGACCATCTCGCCCTTGTACCGCACGCACGCCACATTGTTCTCCATGTGCATTTCCACGCTGGGCAGCGGTGGGGAGGGGATGGCCAGTCTCACCGGGTAGCAGTACACCAGCCTGTCCTGCACTTCAGGAGCTTCCACCTCAGCTACGGGGAACACAGAGAAAGGACAATTGGAGAAAGGACTAACCCTAACCCTAACCCTAACCCTATGGGGAACAAAGAGAAAGGGTGATCGGAGAACAAATTAACCCTAACCCCAACCCTAGCCCTACGGGGGATAAAGAGAAAGGACAATTGGAGAAAGGACTAACCCTAACCCTATGGGGAATAAAGAGAAAGGGTGACTGGAGAAAGGACTAACCCTAACCCTAACCCTATGGGGAATAAAGAGAAAGGACAATTGGAGAAAGGACTAACCCCAACCCTAGCCCTACGGAGCATAAAGAGAAAGGATGATCGGGATGGATCTTCCTTCCACCTCAAAACGCGCGATTGGGATGGATCTTCCTTCCACCTCAAAACGCGCAGCGACAGGAGCAGGGCTGGGGAGCAGACTGGTCACCCCAAAAACCCCCCAGTGGTCCTTCACAGACCTCGCAGGCAGCTCCCGAGGCTGAGCCGATTCCCCAAATTAACACCATCACCCAGTGCCGGTGCACAGAGAGGACCCATTGCACAGTATTCCTCCACCTCCAACGCTGTACACAGCCACTCCAGCATCGTGAGGCACGCTCCACATGGGTGAAACACCTCCCTTGCCACTCCTGTTCTTACTCCAGTTTGCCCCACACTCATCCAAAGCACAACAAATACTCCTGGCTGTCGAATGCAGGAGGCAAAGGAACCTTCCTGCCACCCCATGGTCACCCGTCACAGACAGCGATGCTCAACTCGACCCCATGGACTCAGAGCAGCCCTCCCAGCCGATAACGCTGCCTCTGCGCTACAGTGCTGTAGCCCTGGAGCTGTTCAGAGCCGAGTGCGTACCAGATATATTGTTCTCTTTGAGGATGGCAAGATGCTTCTCCCGGATCCGCTTGACGTACTCGAGGGATATGTAGTAAATCTTACTGCAGATGCCTTCAACCGAGTCCTTTGCTGCAGCAGAGACGTGGGGCCCACACTGTTTGCGTAAGTGCTCCAGGCGGTCCTGCAAACCAGAGAGGCAGAGTCCTGTACCCAGCCACCGTGGGGTACTCGGGGGTACGCAGGCTCCTGTCACCCCGTTTCACAAAGCGATCGCAGCCTTTCTCAGCAGGACCCGTGCCCAGCCCCAGAGACACCTCCCACCCTTCCCAGGCTGCCTGCGCCCGGCCCCGTGGCAGAGGGATGCTGACCATGTAGTCCTCCTTAGAGGCAGAATGGTCCCGTCGCAGCCAGCTGAAGGTGTCCTCCACGTTCCACTTCACCACCTTCCTGCTGTCTGGTGAGGCGCTCCTGCACAAAGCGAAGCAAAACGTGACCCAGGGCTGCACGGCAATGCACCCCGTCC